TTTTTTTTTGATTTTTCTCCGGTACCAGGAACCGAACTCACGACCTTGCGCTTGCCAGGCAGGCGATTTTGCCGCTGAGCTAAATCCCCAGCCCCGACATTTGTAATGTTATACAAGTAATTTAACCTGTCCTTCAGTTACACTTTTTTCACAAGTATAATCAGCTCGATTATATGTATTTGAGTCCTTTGGTACATTTGATATGAATGAATTGATATATTTCAGTGATGGTTTTTGTTTCATATTAGTTCTTTTTTTTATAACAAGACCCAAATAGTATATGATTTTTATCATTTTTCATCAGCAAATGTGATAAGCTATGTAATAATAAAAGAGAAATAAGCAGATACTGGTGTAGTTTAGGTATTTCTTAAAGACTTTCCAAATGAATTTGTCAATAAATTAAGTGTTCCTTTGTGATGATTTACTGTCATTATTCTGCCTAATAGACTTAACAATGTGAATGTCATTTTGTGTTTTTCTTTTGCTTTTGGAAAGTATTTTTCAGCATTTTGGTTTTCACATTGTGCTTTAGTCTATGAGACAATTATCTATTACTTAGGAAATGTCTCTCCTTTGTTTTCTGTTTTTAGTTTAGATTGTCTGAAAAAGAACTTACACTACCTTTGATAGGGTGGTGTCCTTTTTCCAGGCCTAGGAAGTAGACAGTGCTGTCAGCAACTCTCACACCTCAGGCCTTTTGTGTCCCAGCAGATGCCACATAAACAGATCAGTCTGCATGTGTAGCTTAACTGCCTGTCCTTCAAGTGCAGCCTGGTTAAAAAAAGAAAGTTATAGATGACCCACTCTAACCAAAAAGTATTACTTGAAGCATAGATATTCTTATATTTTAATTACAAAGTTGATAGTGAAGTAAAATGCACTGAGTACTTCTCTTTCCTGTATATGTACATTCAACTCTTCGAAGTTATTGCTGTATCTTAATAATGTTGGCCCAGTACAAGTGAATATTCTTGCCCAAATGCTTAGGAAGCATAACAATTTAAATAGTACTATCATGACAAAGATTTCATATTCAAATTCTTATTACAGTGAGCAGCTTTGAGTAGGCCTGAAGTGTTTGTTTTACTGAATTGACTTTTTTTAAAACACAGACTATATAGTGAAAAGAAGCCTTTTGAATTTAATTTTGTTAATGGTGTTAGTAAAAATTAAGCCTAATCATGATGTATTATTAAAGCAATAATAAAAACTAAAAACCTAATGAAACTAAATCCTAAAGGTGATTCACCTTTTACATCTATATTTTGAGAGAATTAACTTCTTAAGATAACAAAAGTAGATTTGAAATTACGTGGATTTGTCCTGGAATTCTAACCCTCTGTCCTTCAGCTTGTAGCTTTCAGTAGCACACTGCTTAGAAGAGGTTGGAGAGAAAAGACTATAAGGGAAGAACTCGTTCTAATCCTCGAGTTTCTAGATAATCAGAATAATCTTGATACTTTAGTTCAGGTTTTTGTATTAAACCTCAGAAAACGTAAGAAATAACCTTTTATACACCTGAAAACAAACAAAACTCTGTAACACTGTAGATTCACAAAGTAACATGTTAAGTCTCGTGGCGCTGCGCCAGCCCAGCATGTTGTAGCACCTGTAAAGACTGACCTCAGCGGTCCTGGGTCATAGGAGGTGACGTGTGCGATTATTCCGATGTTGCAGATGAGGAGACTGAGGCACAGAGAGATGGAGGGATGGAAGGGATCTGGTCACAAGCGAGGCAGCCGCAGAGCAGAGCACACAGTTCAGGACTCCAGGCAACGGTGCTGTTGCCGTCCCTGACTGCGTTTCACAGTGAGTCTGCTGACGCCGGAGGCCGAAGGGGCCCTCCAGGCGTGCGAGGGAACTCCGCCAGTCATGGTGGATGCAGCTGTAAACGACAAAGAAATGCCACCTGGAGAATCCCTTAATTGCCCTCCGACATTATTATAAGAGTAAAACTTGAAGACTATTGTTAAAGGATTAACTACAAATCCATTGTGACATACTGGGCTTGAGGGTGTAACTCAGTGGGAATGCTTGCCTAGCAGGTGTGAAGCTGTGTTCTTTCCCCAGCACTGCAATAAATAAATAGATAGATAGATAGTGACATACTAACATAAATTAAGAAAGAAAACTCCAGATTGTCTGTACAGTTCACAAAATATTGGTAGAAAATATATAAGGTTCATTTGAAAGTAACAGACTTTTTTTCATAGATAGTATAAATCATTCTTATTTTATAAATTGCTGAGTATTAGGGCTTTGAAAAAAATTGCAGGTAATTTAGTACCTAAATAAATTGGGGAAAAATCATCTTTAATTGGAAAATAAATAGCAAATGTAGAAGAAAAGAGCACTTTGTTTCAATAAATTGTTAATCCATATTACTTCAATTCATAAAAACTCAGTGAACTGAAGATAATTATTATTCCATTTTATAGATAAAGAAAGACTTAGATGTGTGGTAATTTGTCCGGTGTTTCTCATTTTTGGTAGGAGAAGCAAGACCCTAGGAATGTACTAAACTTATTGCCCAAGTATAGTTTTAAAGATACACATTCTGTCTTACACGTGTGTACACACACAGAGACACATGCATATATGTAAAAAATTGTATTGTAAGTTACTTGTGCAGCTATTTTGTTATATATTGTGTACAAGAAGAGCTTTGCATGGTTCTGCTACCCAATCAAGCTGCAAAAAGCTAATGGCTGTTGCTAAATGGAAGTTTGCATGCAAATTTAGAGACCATAGACCCAAACTGTAGCACGGCATATTGAGCCTGCCAGGGTGAGCGTTTTCCTGTGCTACCAGTGAGTCCTGGCAGTGTCTGGGCTCCAGAGGGCTAGCTGTGCAAGGAATGCTGCTGAATCTCAGTGAACTGCAGAAATGCGTTCTTCAGTAGATACATCTTGACCATGACAGCAGCACTGGTCGAGGGAGATGAAACAGTGAATCTATGAGCTGAGTGTTTTCTCTTCTGTCTTGGGTAGCTTAAGTTCTTGACTCTGAAGACTTTTTTAAAATTTTTTTTTTTTAATAAATTACCACAAACCTGGTAACTTAATTTTATTTATTTTGGTACCAGGAATCTAACTCAGGACTTGGCACTTGCCAGGCAAGTGCTATGCCACTGAGCTACATCCCCAGCCCAAAACTCCATAAAATTTTAAATTCTTAACCTGATTCTCTTTCTTTCCTTCTTACCTAATTTTGAGATCACTCTGGCTACTTCTACTCTTCGTTTTAAGAGAATACGTATGAGTTCACTAGAAGCATTGCCTCTCTTACTTTTCATTCCTTGTTTAAATCTACCCCTTTACCTTCTTTTACTCCTCACCAATTCCAGATACGATGTTCTAGTGCTAGGGTTACAGCAGTGAGCGAAACAATGTCCTCACAGTATATCAGCTGCCCTCCTTTCTGCTCAAAGGAGAGGTGCAGGAAGTGGTTAGTCAGTCTTACGTGAGGTCTTAGGCTTTATGAAGAAATCTGTACTTGTGTTTTCTTTCTTTTGGTCTATGAATAACAGCAAATTTTAAAATGTGAGCTTATTTAAATATATCTCAAACTCTCCTTGTTACAGGTAGTTCTGTATTATGCATGTACTTCTAGTTCTGTGTAAGTAACATGATACTTGACATGACACATATGCACACAGTTTTATCTATTCTGAAACATTTAATTTAGTATATTTATGTATATATTAAAGTGTTTTATCCACTTTGGTATTCTGAGTGGCAAAACCTCCCTGTATACTTCATGATGTTTAGTTAATGCTTTCATTATGAAAAGCACATTTAGTTATTGATATTCATGGAAAAATAAACCATGACCTTGTGAGTAGAACTCTGAAGTTAGTGGTGTTAAAGAATTCTTAAATATACAGCTTCCATTTCTTCCTGGTAGGGTGTTATCCGTACTTATCACGAATATCGAGCATTCTGCATTCTAAGGCTTACAGGAGGCTCTTTCACTGATTCTATGAATTACATGGCAGCATCTTCCAAACCCTGTCGTTAAAGCTGTGCAGCTTCGCCTTAGAGAGAACCTGTATAACTGTTCTTCAGTGAGCATACTATTCAGGAGCCCACTAAAGCCAATGAAATTACTGTATACTGTAATCTATTTTGAGTTTTAAGGGTTTATGTGGAATGTTAGCAAACTTAGTACATGAAATATTTTCTATTACCACTGGGGGGCAGTGTTCATATTTTTAGAAATGATTAAGTTGAATTTAGTCTGGTAAATCACACTAGTTAAGTGTGCCTCTGTCTTTAAAATCTTGTTTTTAAAATTTCGAACAGGGCTTCAAAAGTTTGCCTTAATGACTCAATAAAGACATTGAATAGATTTGTTTATTTACTTTTTTAATCCGAATTCTTTTCTTTAGCCCATTATCCCTATGTTTACACAAAATATTCGAGAAGGATTTAGATCACTTGGAGGAACAAGTAAGTTGCAATTCATATGGTTTTTCGTTACAGTATATACTTGAAATACTGGGGCTTTGGAACCCTGTGAGGAGCCCTTTTGAATTAACTCTACAAAATGGGTTAATTATTTAGATTTTATTATATAAAGTCTAAATGGTAACTGGCTCTCAGTAATGGCACTTCGTAGATGTTCTATCTTTGTCACATGTATATACAGAGTACATACGTGGGAGCTTATTTGTAGAGTGCTTTTTAAAGTTCCAAAACAATTTACCTAATTAATATAGTAGTATTACTGTGAGAGTAAACCATGTTGACGAGGGTTAGGAAAAGCTTTTAACTCAACCACAAAGAAGTAACAGCTTTATAAAAGGATGACATTACATATTGAAATAAGGGTAACAACTAAGCACATGTCATTTGTTCTGGCTTATTTTTGCCAATTTATTAAGAAAAATATATTTTAAATCATATATATTTAATTGAAAAGTGTTTTTAATCTGCCTTTGATTTGTAGGTTAAAACAATGAGCTTTTAGTCCAGTTATAGAAATGATAACAACTGCATATGTCCTTTCCTTGCAAGAGTCTGTTTTCTTATTTTGCCGTGTTCAGTTTAACCTATATTTTCAGTTTAACCTGTATTCAATGAGTTGTTTTACATCCCTAGCACAGTTATTGTTAGTATTTATATACGCGTAAAAGCGAGTCCTATTCTGAAGAGCTTTAAGTTGCTCCTTATTGTGTAACGCTGTTATTTTGTTTGTACTCCTTTATGTTTTTTAGTCTTAATTTTCTTCTCTTTTCTATTTAAAGTAGAAAGGCAGATTGTTGTTATAGTATTTAACTTTTGTTGTAGAGTTGTTTGAAATTTTCCCTCAGCCTGTCCCCTCATAATTTAAGTGGCAAACCAGAATTTATTCTAGAAATGTTTTAATTTTAAATTAATGTTAAAAATCATTTGAACTGCTTTTTATTTTTCTTGACATTGAAGCTCAGTATCTCAAAACTTAGCGTCTGGTGGTTGTATTTTAGTGTTTCCCTGGGTCTGACGCGGTGTTTTGCATTTCCATACATTAGCAGGGTTTTCTACTTGGGGTAACAGTACATGGCTACATAGTATCATCCCTTCGGCTTCTCTTGTATGGATTTCTTTAATGCTTTTTTATCAGTTCATCACTTTATCTACTATTTTTAACTACATTATATTTAATCCTGTTAAATTTCAGACTTGGCCATTAATATTAGTAAGTTTTTGTTTTGAGGTATTAGTTTTGTTTTTTCAGTTTACAATAATGTTTGTTAGTCTTTAAGTTGCGGTTTATCGCTTCAGTGCAGTGGCTCAGGTTTACCTAAGCGCACTTACGTCCCTCCCCCTCGTCTTTTAGGTCACTTATTTTGAGTCCCTAGAAAATTTAGCTTCAACGTTTGGTTTGGTAATAATGATAATGGATTTGTGTTTTCAAATTCTCATATTTAAAATCTTATCTTTTTAAGCTCATAAATTTAAGTTTTAGATTTTCAGAAAAGAATTGAGCAGAAAGTATAGGGCATTCTGCATTTGCTCACCGTCCTCTAGCTTTCTGTTGTCAATATCTTACATTGGTGCAGTGCATTTGTTAGGATTGATGAAAAGGTCGTCTTTTAAAAAATATTTTATTTTCAAGAAAATACTTTTGCCATCTTCCTGTAAATCTTGCATAATTAATTTGAAAGCATACAGCTATAGGCCTGTCATATTTAATCAATAAAAATGATTTTGTCTGCTTTCAACCAGGGTTATTTAGATGGCTTTATGAAAAATTCCGCTATCCATTTGCTCCAATGTATGGGGGTTTTCCAGTGAAGTTGCGGACGTATTTAGGCGATCCCATTCCCTATGATCCAAAGATGACAGCAGAAGAATTAGCTGAAAAGGTAAATTATTTTTCTCTTGTTAGTCTTAGGACAGACTTTTATTTTCAATTATTATATTTCAATGACGTTATTTATTTACTTCTACCTTTGTCAGGCATGTTCTGCGTCGGTGGTTCTCAGGCAGGGGTGATTTTGCCCCACAGGAAAAGCTTAGCAATTTCTGGCGATGTTTTTTACCGTTATGGCGGGCAGAAGTTGAGGGTGGCGGTGCTACAGACAGTTAGTGGTTAGAGCCTAGGAGTAAAATTGATAGTCACCTGTAGACTGTCTGGGAAGATGCTTCTATATGCGAGGGTTTGGAAATGCTGGGCTAGAGTTAGGGAGCGAAGTCAGAATGGTAGTGAAGATGCGAAAGTCATTAATGCTGAAGCACTGCTGAAGCTGCGACCTTTACCAGGAAAATTAGTGAGAAAAAGAGGCCTGAGACAGCCCGCAGATGTGACATTTAAGCCGCAGGCCAGCCACAGTGGAAGCCAGCCGGAAGGGGACTGGCAGAGAAGAGGTACATTTGTGTGATAAAGTGAGTGGGTGAGGTATTTGAGAGTGAGAATTATCAGGTATAGTTCTTACCAAGCAGTCAAGGAAAATGAGAGTGAGAAAAGACAAAGTACCCAGCACCCACTATTCTAAGGCGGGAGGTCCTCCCCAGCGCACCAGTCAGTCCTCAGTCGGCTCCCTTGCAGGCAGAAAGGGCGTGGAGGGAAGGCATGGCGGGGGAGAGCTGCTCCACCCGCGGCAGCCAGGAAGCAGCGAGGGAAGGGAGGAGTCGCGCAGGGACAGGCCTTCCACATCGCGTCCAGGCCACACCTCCCAGCAGCACCTTCGCTGTGAACGCCTCAGTGGGTTAATTCGCTGATGAGTATAGCACCCCGTGATCCAGTCGCCATCAAAATCCCCCCCTCTGCACACGTGGGACTTTGGAAGACATTATGGATCTAAACCCTACCTTTTGAGTGTACTTTCAGAGTTTAAAACTACAAAAAAGCGAAATGTCATGTTAGTGAATCTCTTTAAAAATGGGATAAATATGTTTTGGTTACGATTTTTATAGCAGTTTTTGGCATATATATCAGCCTGGTTTATTTAAACAATTTAAATTGCTATAGAAAAACAGAAATTTATCATCTTAACCATTTTTAATCATAAAGTTCAGTACCGTTGGTACATTCACATTGTACAGTAGGTCTCTAAAGTTCATCTTGCCAGACTCACCTTGCTCCCCTGTACCCCACCCTCTCTTTTCTCCCTCCCCCACCCCTCACAGCCCCTGCTCCACGTTTGACTATAGTCTTTTTGAGCAGAACTGTAGAGTTTTTATCTTTGTGTGACTGGCTTTTTTAAAATCAATCTGGCAGCATGTGACAGCATTTTCTTTCCCTTAAGGCATAATAATATTCCACTGTATGTATTTACCACATTTTCTTTACCCATTCATTTGTTAATGGGCATTTGGATTATTTCTACTTGTGTCTACTTTTTGGCTATTGTGAGTAATGCCTCAGTCAGCACAGCTGTGCAGGTATCTCTTCCCGCTTTGGATTTTTTGGACGTATACCCAGAAGTGAGACGCTAGGTCATATGGTAGTTCCATAATTAATGTTTCTTGGGACTTCCATGCTATCTTCCACATTGTCTGCTACCGTTTCACGTTCTCATGTAGCATACAGGGATTTTAATTTCTGTACCTCTTTGTCAGTTCTTGTTATTTTGTTTTGTTTCTCAATTTCCAATAGTGGCCATCCTAGTGAGTGTGATGTGATATCTTACTGTGATTGTGATTTGTATTTTGCTAATGATTAGAGAGATTGAAAATATTTTTTCATGTACATGTTGATCACTTGTTATGTAGATATTTCTGCAAACAGTGTCTATTCAATCACTTGTCCACTTTTTGGTTGTTACTTACTGAGTTGTAGACCTTCCTCGTGCACCCCATAAATTAGCGCTGCGTTGAACACCTGTGATTGGCAGACACTTCTTCCCACTTTGTTTCCTGTGATTTGTGGATGTTTAAGTTTGTGGTAGTCCCCGTCTGTCCCCTGTTACTTTTTGTGCTTTTACTATGCTGTCATTACCAAACCCAGTGTTAGGAAGCTTTAAAATCCAGCGTTTTGTTCTCTGACCCATTATGAGTTAATCTTCACATACTGTGTAAGGTCCAGCTTTGTACATTCTTTCACATATGGGTATTAAATTTTTCCCAAAACTATTGCAGAAAAGTCTGTATTTTTCCTATTGCATGATCTTGTCACTTGTGTTAAAGATGATTTGACCATGTAATACAGTCTACTTCTGGGTTCTGTCTTATTTCTGTGGGTCTATTGGTCTGTCTTTATGCTGTAGAATACCATTTTGATTATTAAAGTTTTGTTGTAACAGCAAGCAGAAACATCAAAATGACACCCCGGATTTGGAGGCAGATTTGTTTACATTCACAGGCTCTGACTGAGATTATTCCCAGAATATCCGGCCCCGATCTTTGGCAGTCTAGGGCTTACATGAGATAAGCAAGCAGGAAGTACAGATGCAGAATGGCTTGTCGCTTGGGGATTGGTTTATACAGTGTGCATCGTACTGACCAGCTGTGCATCGCAGTGACCAGCTGTTTCTAAGTGACAGCAGCAACTGGATCTGGAACAGGAACTATTACCGGGGCAACTAAGAAACTCAAGTATACTGGGGGTGGGGGGCCATTTCCTTCTACATTGTAATATCCTTTACTTAGGAATTGTCAGTGCTGTTGCTTTGTTTTTAAGATTGTTTTGCCTATTCTGGGTCCTTTTAGATTCTAAATGAACTTTATTTATTTATTTTTTCTGTTTATGCAAAAAATGACATTGGGATTTTGATAGGGATTACATTGAATTTTTATATTGCCTTGAGTAGCTTTTATTTTTATGTATTTATTTATTTATTTTTGTCTTTTTGAGACAGGGTCTCACTATGCAGTTCAGGCTGGCCTTGAGCTCACTTTGTAGCCCAGGCTGGTCTTGAACTCACAATGATCCTCAGCCTCAGCCTCCCGAGTGCTGGGGTTACAGGCATGCGTCACCATGCCCGGTCTGCCTTGAGTAGCTTTTAATAATATTAAGTCTTCTAATTTTTTTTTGTTGTTGTTGTTGGGGGGACAAGATCTCCCTATGTAGTTCAGGCTGGCCTTGAGCTCAAGGCAGTCCTCCTGCCTCAGCCTCCCAAGTGCTGGGATTACAGGTGTATATCATCATGCCTGGTAGGTCTTCTAATTCTTGAACACAGGAGGTCTTTCTATTTATTTTTGTTTTCTTTAATTTCTTTTAGTTTTGTGGTTTCCAGTGTCCAAAACTTTCTCCTCCTTGGTTAAGTTTGTTGTTCCTGAATATTTTACTATTGTTTGATATTATCATTTTGTAGTTTTGCCATTTTATTTTAATTAAGATTGTTTCCTTTCTTTCCTGTTGTTTTACTTTTAAGGTTGTATGTAGAAACCCACTGATTTCCGTGTATTTTTATGTCTTTCAACTTCGTTGAATTTATTAACTTTTTGACTCTTTAGGGTTTTCTGCACTAAGCATATCATTTGCAGAGATACTTTTACTTATTTCTCTATATATACATAGTTTGATTTAATCCTCATGTCGTTAGACCTAATGTTGCTGTTTTACACATGGAAAACCGAGTATTTAGTCAGCATTGCTGGGTTATGCTGGGGTAACAATCTACTGCAGAGCCGGGTGTGGTGGTGGCGCACGCCTGTAATTCCAGCACCCGGGAGGCTGAGGCAGGAGGATCACCTTGAGTTCAAGGCCAACCTGGGCTCCATAGTGAGTTCAAAGCCAGCCTGAACTGTATAATGAGACATTGTTTGAAAAAACAAAACAAAGAAGAAAATGTATTACAGAATCTCAGAGATCTATGGTAGTGACATTTACTTCTTGTTGTATTAATTTTCCCTGGAGGCAGCTACAGCTTTGTCTGTGTCTTTATTGCTTTGGGGTTTAGACAAAAGAGATCCCAGCATGTGGGATGTTGCCATTGGCACGGGAGAGGCCCAGGTCAGCAGTAGAGCCCTGGGCTGGCCTTTGAGGCTGCTCTTCAGCAGTGGCCACTCACTCCCACCGCATCTCCTTGACCACAGTCTTCCTGGACTTAAGTGAGGCGGGACCGGAAATCCTCCCACAGGGCTGAGGGCGTCCCTGGCAGTGATAGTGAATAGTACCTCCTGCTGTGCGGACTCGGTAAGTGAAGCCCCTTAGAAAAGGGTGTGCCGCTAGAGCCGCTCTAATATTGTTAGATGGGACTTTGCTGGGACTGTCCCTGTGAAGGAAGTTTCTCAAAGGTAACGTTTGTGATCTGTTAGTGCTGCCCGTTGTCCAGTTATTCAAATGGCTCCTTAAGTTTCCCCCAGCTCTGTTCTGTCCTGTGCCCTGAAAGTTCTTCAGACAGCGCAACTCTCCTCCCACTCTGAAGCAGTGCCCTCCCCAGAGCTTCGTGGGCTCAGAGCTGCGCCCGGGCTCAGAACGGGCCCTCTGGTTTTGCCAACACGCTTTGGTCACACAGTGTATCTCTTTGCCACTCCCCAACATACGCATTCTTCTTTAGGAGGTAACTGAATTATATTTTGTTCTACAATTTTTCCTTCTTGTTTATTAGGATTTAAGTGGGTCAGAGCTAGTTAGGAACAATTTTTTTTCAGAAAGCATTTTTTTAATGGTCAAAATCAAATGTAATGGAGAAACAAAAAATCCTGGACTGAAAGTTCAAGGGTCTGTGTTCTAACTCTTGCTGTGCCAGTAGGCGGCATTGTCACTGGGTGAATGACGCATTCTTATGAAAAGTGATATTATTGAACTAAAGTGTACTTGAAAGGAAGCATACTTGGTTTTCTTCTTTTGTGTGTTGTGACTTTTTTCCAGCTGTCTTCATTATTAATAATGTAACCCAAATTATAGCATAACAACCCCCGTAGTACCACAGATTTGTAATCACTAGCATCCAAATTAATACTTATATGTAGAAATGAAAGTTCATTTTTTAAAATGGGCGATAGACTGTTCAGCATTTGATTGTGCAGAAGAATCATTTTTAAACACCGTCTAAATATAAATTAAAGTATGCTGTAATAGTGCAAAGAGGGCACTAGAGGTATTTATTAAGGGTTTTGCAAGTCCTCGTCTCCCTGACGTTCTGTTTCTGTGTTGCGTCTGGTTCTCTCTGTCTCTCTCTCTGTCTCTCCTTCCTTGTACATTCACCGACACCCACATGTCAGTACAGGTCTGTGTGTGTACACATGTATTGCTAAGAAGCAGACAAATGGGAAGAGGTGGGCAGATGTGAGTCCTGCTTGGGTGAAACTAGTGGGCATTGCTCACAGACTGCGTGGTGTGCATGACGGTGAGGGGCTGTGAAGGGCGGCTCCGGGGTGTTGGCTTACTTGGCTAGACTGTGTGTCTCGCTGACACAGAGCAGGGGCTCAGCAAAGGACGAAATAAGAGGGACAATGCTAACTTAGTCTCAAGTTAAGCATGTTGGATTGGAGATGCCTGTGAAGTACCCAGAGGAAGTCACTGAAGCTGGGGGGACGGAGGGTGAGCGGTAACGGAAGCCGTGGAAGTGAACGCCATTGCTGAGCCTCTGGAGAGTAAGTCAGTGTTTGCTTCTGGGAGAATGAGCCGGACGGATCAGTTGAAGTCAGAACAGTGTCAGTTCCAGAAGCAAAAGGCATATAAGAAAGGAGTGGCTACTGATGACTGTGAGGAAAAATAACATTGAAATTGAAGGCATACCCTGTGGATTTAGTTACAGAAGGGGATCATCAGTGATCTTTTCAGGGACTGCGTCTTCTTGACCCACAGCCCTCACATTACTTACCCCAAAATTCTTTGCCTCCTCGTCATAGTGTACACTCTATTAAACATGTCATTCGTCGTACTAAGTACTCTGTCACTTGATATTTAACTTTCTTCGTGATTTGATTGAATCTAGTTTGAGAGCCACGTGTCACCAGCTTTGGGCTATGTACCTGAAGCACAGTGACATGAACTCACGTATCGTTCCTTTAATGGCTGTCTTCCCGGGGTCTTTGCTCTTCGTGCTTCTCTTTCACCCGTACTGAGATCTCACTGACCTGCAAGGCCCAGTCCAAAGTGTACCCTGCTGACGTGTCCAGCGCCGAGCGCTGCCTGCTGAGTGGCTGCTCAGTTTGAACTTGTGGCTACTTCTGCCTCACTTCTCAGATGGTACGAATCACAAATGATTCATACTTGCTTACGTTGTACTCAGGTCTTCCTATGAGGTTCTTAATATTAGAGACTTTGACTAGTGTTACAGTTTTTGATACATCTAATACTTCTGGAATCAGTGAATGAATGAGTGAGTAAAATTTTAGAAATACACTTAATAGAAAACAGCTTGTGTGTCAGTCACTGGTATGTGAAGATACCATTTCAAGTTCATTTAATCCTTTAATAACTGTGTACAGTAGTACTCATTTCACAGATGTGAAAAGTGACATATTTTTAAATACATCTTTGGGCTAGAGTGTATTGGCTTAAAGGTTAGGGTCTACATTATGTGTGTTCATGAATATACTATGTACGTGTATAAATAAAAAATGGAAATAAACTGATTTGGAAGTAAAAGTTACTGAAATTTGCCATTAATTTAGTGGAAAACAAGTAGGTTTAGAAATGTCTTGCTGTATTCTAATTGACTTTTCCATGGCTGTGACTTCATGAAAATACCTATTGAACTCTGTAAATTGAGGCAAAAAAAAGAAAGTATATTAGTTCATTCCTTGTTTTCCTGTCACACTGCCTGATACAGTTGTTGGGTGTGTAAGGTGATAAATGAAAAGGATGTTTGAGTTGATTAATGGCTGGGGAGAACTGAACCATCCATTTGCATACTAGACATTTTCCACTACTTTTTTTTCCTAATTTTTTTCTTTCAGTTCATTGTAGTATTTATCATGCGCAAAGTATTTCTGTGCTCACAAATGGAAAAATACTAAGATGTATCTTAAGGAGCTAGTAGTTTGGTATAGAAAATAGCCAGGTGGACAGTAACTATAACATAAAATAAGTATAGGAAATATGAAGGGATGCGTTGAGAGGAAAATCATTCATCCTGAGAGGGGAGGGGGCAATTGAAGGAGGACGACTTGACAGTAGGAAGACACAAAGTCTTTACATTAGTGTGGAAATAATAATGGTTTCCTTCTGTTTTCTTAATAGACCAAGAATGCTGTTCAAGCTTTGATTGATAAGCACCAAAGAATACCAGGAAACATTATGAGTGCTTTGTTAGAACGTTTTCATAAAAAACAAAAGGTCATTTAGAAGATGATTTAATATATCTGTATGATTATGTTTGTGGCTGTGGTACTGTCTTTTGAATTTTATAGGTCATATAATTAGGATTTTTTAAAAATCATGTTAATAAGCATCTTTCTTAGAATTTGTTTAAATTTATATCGTCAATTTTGTTTTGCAATCAATTGTGTCAGATTTAATCAGTAACTTGTTACACGTCTAATAATTCAGAAAATGATCATATTTCACTTGTAAATTCTTAATGTATGATAAACACAGATTCTTGAAATTAAGTTTTTCAATAGTAGCAGTATGGTTTAAGCAAACATTCCTGAACGATGTGTCTAATTTCTGTATCTGTTGGACTGAGCTGATTTGGAGAGAGGATATAAGCTGGGGTTTAGCATAGTTAATGAATTAGAAAAGAATGCTTTTCTCTGTCCCTCTTTCCCTTCAAGCTTCCGGGTGAATCATGTAATGTTTCTGGCCTCCATAATTTACTTCCTAAAATCATGATAATATTGTGGTGAGGATTTTAAATTTTTTTTTCTTTTTTTTTTTAAAGACAGGGTCTTGCTAAGTTGCTAAGTTGCTTGGCTGAGCTCCAGCTTGCCATTCCCCTGCCTCAGCCTCCCAGAGTGCTGGGATCATAGGTGGGCACCACCACACCTACCTAGAATGTTATTTAACTGGTTTATATTTACTGCAATTGATACTTGTTGAGCCAGAATTATGACTGAATAATTAGGTAATACCAAAATCCTCTAGAAGATATGTATATATTTTATCCACCAGATGTTCAAAATATTCCCATAGGTATGATGTCCAGTTGCCAAGCACAATGAAAGAGATGTACTGTTTTTCAAACCAAATAAAAAGCAGTTAGGTAAATTATAATTTCTAGTTGATATTTTTATAATTTATTACATTTTTAACAAGAGCCTGTAAACAAGCAATATAGGATGGATCGTGAGCCCTGTAGTACAACGTTTAACAGCGCAGGAATAAACACCCTTGTTGTGCTCCCCGTTCTGTGTGAGAAGCTGATTTCTAAAGTTTAGCTGATTTCTAAAGTTACTGAGCTTGGCTCAGTATTGTGGCTCGTTCTGTTTGACGCTAGTGAGAGGGCATATTGTCCAAAAAAATACTTGAATGATGAATTTATGTGAACAGAAAGCCTTTAACAGTTAATGGCTTTTGAATTGTTGTCTCCTTGAAAATTAATTTTAAAAAGTATTTAATTCAAAAAGTATCCAATCAAACGCAGTATCTCTTCTTTTTAGATGTTAAAATACTTGGGTTTTATATCAATTTTTGTATTACAAATGTATACTTATGTGAAATGTATATAAAATTAATGTAAAAAAATAAAACTGAATTGTAGTTCATTTTCTTGTGAAATTGTATATTTATTTTCTTATCATTTTAAATGGAAATTTTGTTCTGCAGATTTCTAATCAACAATTGTGTCGTAGCCGTAGTAATAACCCTTATTTTCAATATAGTAAATACATTTCAGTGAAAAGAGTCAATTTGCAATTATTTTCTACCTTCAGCATGAACAACTGGTTTAAAGTGGATCTGCATTTCTAGAATGAATGAATAAATGACCAGAGAATAAATAAGAAGACTTTCTGGAAAATAGTTGGGTTTTAAACATTGATAAAAAACACATTCGTTGGTAATGTAGCTAAAGCTATTATTTTTACAGTATTAAAATATACTACTTTACTTAAAACGTCCTGTTTGGTCCCTGATACACTAATAGGTAGGTTTCTTATCTATGGTGACAAGGCCTTTATCTTTGTTTCTTGAACTTAAAGCTCATTTAGAAGAATGGGGGGGGTTACAGCTAAATATAGCTAAATATAGAAACATAAGTAATAGTGGAAAGGGGGTGTGTTGGGGCTCAGCCCTTTTTTAGGCAGTGCTGACAGAATTTGATGCAAGCATAACAGGATACAGAAGCATGAACATGGTACACTTTTAGGGGAAATTTTTTATATCCTTTTAAAAAAAACTCTAGTTTTGAACCCATTTCAAACTTACAGCCTTGCAACATAGCCCCACGTACTTTTCACGAAGATTCACCAGTTGTTAACCTGTGTCATTTGTTTTATTCTGTACTGTTCGCCCTCTGTCCACACACATAGCTATACATTTTTCTTTTCTCAGTCCTCGGATAGTAAATGGCAGACACTGTGCCCCTTAACAGTACCTTAACTGTGAAGTCATCCAGTAAGGAACCATAGCACAATGGTCAAAACCAGGCAATGTATCACTGACAGTATTACCTAATCTACAGACCATATTTAAATTCCCCCAGTTGTCTCAATACCTCAATACCTTAGCATCCTGTAGAAATTAGTATTCTCAGAAGTTCAAGAGCATGATTTTCTAAACTCATACTAATCTAGATTTAGTCTGTAAAGAACTTTCCAATTTATTTCCCTCTTCACACAGATACACTTTGCGTAGAAGATTTTTATCTTGTTAAGGGTTATGCATACACTTTAAGTTTTTAACCATGAGACTGTCTAAAGCTTGTTTCCCATTTAATGAAATAAAATATGTTTGTAGAAGTAAATGAGACAGACTATTTTTTTTTTTTTTGGTACTAGGAACTGAACTCAGCACCTTGTGCTTGCCAGACAGGTGCTTGTGCCGCTGAGCTATATCCCTGGCGTTTTTGTATTTTTATGTATAGTTATTTTTCAAAAATATTCTGTTACTTTTTATTTTAAAATACATATAACATCAAGTTTACCATTATCATGCCTTTTAAGTATACTTTTCCTTGGCAGTAAGTACTGAAAGCCCTGCAGAGGGCATCAGTCTCCCCGCTGGTAATATGGCACACAGATGGAAAAGAAAGAGAGAGAAAGTTCTGCAGTTGAAGAGCTCGGGGATGACCAGTGCTCTCTGGGACAAAGGGCCACAAGTTCAAGAACTCACGGCTTTGACTGGAATCCATCAGGGAGGTGGGTGGGGGTCGCGGCAGAGTACTAAGGAGGGGAAGCTTTGCAGGCATGGCTGTGTGGAGAAACGGCGCGTCTGCACCAGGCGCAGAGGCTCTCCCAGCAGCAGCTCAACGGGTAGCTTGATGTGTTCAAGGCTGGCTCCTTTACAGCCAGGAAGGTGTAGTTCTCTTTGAGTCCCACGGCCCCAGCCGAGATGTTGTTTCATGTTGATTAATGTTACAGTGAGACATGTGACTCAATCACATTGAGTCTGGACTCAGTCACATTCTTTTAGCCAATTACGGGAACATTTGCTTCTCTGTGGCCAGCTCTGCATATCTCAGTAAATAAGGTTGAAGTAACGGTCAGGGAGAGATGGAGGCGCGGGGCTTCCTTTCTCGGGAAACAGCTTGGTGGTCTCCACAATATACACTTTAAATATACTTCCTTTAAGTATATTTAGAGTGTTGTGGGACCACCGTAGCTTACCTCTTTCCAGAGCTTTTTCCTAATCTCAGAGACTGTGCCAGAGGCAGGAGAAAGACTCAGCATTACTCAGGAGGTAGAGGTTTACTTGTTCTTTCACAGTTGCTCCAAATACAGATAATTCCTTGTTTAACAACTTATTGATTTAACGGCTGCTGGGACTTACACCCTGTTTTTGGATTTAAGACGCAAGAACGTGAGTGGCAGTGTGGCCTTGGTGGCTTCTACAGTACTGTAATTTTTGCTGATTGTACTGTACAGTACTGCAGTTTTTTAAATTAAATTTTTGAATTTAAGGAATTTCACATGTACTTCCTTTAATGCTCATCGATATCACCTTAATGAGGTACTCTGTCTTCAAGATAGCCTTTTTTAAGAGAATTGACGCTTCATCCAGTCATCCTATCTGCCTACAATTCTTTTTTTCCTCTTGAATTATGGACAACCAATGACAGCTTCAAAGCTCTTGGGCTCTTAGATCCAAATTTCTACAGCAATTTAGTACTGTAGTTTCATGTTCTGTTACACATTGCAGTACAGCATGCAGGAGTTATGCAAGTAAATCACAGTCATCGAGCTGGAGTTTCCTTTGACCATTTCCTCATTCTGATATTGTAATGTACGTACTATGTCCCTCATTTAGTGAGAGATTCCTCTAGCAGTCTAGTTGTAGGAACCTAACTCAGTTGTTTAGTAAGGAATGTCTGTACCTCTCAGCTGGCTACAGCTACAGCAGCCAGCCAGCCCCCAGCTCCTGCAGGAGACTACACACACACACACACACACACACACACACACACACACAGTGTTAGTGCATTAATTTTCACAGAACATTGGGCTTCATGGTGGCACCTTCATTCATGGGTAAAATTTGATCATATCCATCCCCCCATTTCTCTTGCACCCCCTTTCCCTCTCCCCTGATCTCTTCCTGCTGTCTGATAGTTTCCCGGAGACGTCTGCTGTGGCTACAGCAGGCCTCAGTGTGGGTCCATTCCAGACGATTCTGTTCCCACCGCCACCTCTGGAAGATTCTGTCCCTCTGCAGGCATCCTCAGGCAGTTCTGGAGAAGCCCATTCTCTACCCATGACTGAAAAGAAAGTCTGACAGTACACATGTACAAGCCCACCTTTTCTTTATAAGGAACCGCTCCATAGCTTTAGAGGGCCAGTCCGGACACTGTTCCCTTATGTTACAGCATTAAGTCTAGTAGAGCCTCTTGGAAGGTGTTCTTTTGCCAACCCATGATTTCTTCCTCGAATAGGACAGGCTAAGGTCATGTACTAAGAGCTGCTAACACTAAAGCTGGGTTTCATTGCTAGTAGCCAGGGCTGGACACACAGAAGGCAGCTGGTAGCCAGATACCAAGGGAGAGTTACAGACGCTGCTATCTCTGGCCGCTGGAGGAGTTCCCAAGGGCTGGCAGTAGCTGCTAGCTACTGCTAAGAGTGATGGAGAGCTTCTACTACTCAGAGCTAACTACTGACACTTTAGGGCTGTTAACACTAAAAACACTACATTTTGCCTGTTTCTATCCGAATTAAACAAAAGAACCAAAGCCAATTGATAACCCCCAGCCAGTCTTTGAACACTAACTCCATATCCCACCTCCACTCCCTGATAACTTGTTTCTGTCTGAATTTATTTTCCTGACTCCTTAGTACCTTATATAGATGGAACCATTATATCTGTTTCATTTAGCATTTTTTTCTTGTACACCAAACACAACATTCCAACACCAATCTGACAACCCTCCAGCGCCAGCTGCGCGGCCTACGATTCCATTGCAGTCTGACACTAACCCTGGATATAACCACAGACCCCACATGGGAGGACTCAGTCTCCTAGGGCTACCCCCACTTTAGACACCTCCTGCAATTAGGGCCCCCGATTGTCGTTACTTCTGCCTGGGGAACAACCAGTTTGAAGATTTCCATGACTGCCCCCCTCAGATTTGATAATTCACTAGAAAAACAGAACCTGATAAAATACTAAGCAAATTTCATTATAAAGAACACAACTCAGGACTAGTTAAAATGGAGCAAGGCAGGTATGGGGGTGGGGGGATGCCAGCTTCCATGTTCTTTGTGGGTGCATTACCGTTCCAACACAGCCATGCGCTCACCAGCACAGGAGCTCCCCCAGCCTCAGTGTGGTGTGGCCTATTGACTCATTGAGCCGTCGGCTGTCAGTGACTGAACTCGATCTGTGCTCCCTCCCCTCTCCCCTGAGATCAATGAGAAAACTGGAAGTTCTAATCCTTTCATCACATCACCCACTCCCATAACAGAACAGCCCTACCCTGAAACAGTACCCCCAGCTATAAGGCATCTTGTTGACAGACAGGCCCTCAGGAAATTATAAATGTTTTAGAAACTCTGCCAAGAGCAGGGCCAAAGATCACATGTATCTATTTTTACTACAACAAGATAATGTTTTCAAGCTTAATCCAATGTTGCAGAGGTAGCAGAGTTTCCTTGCTTTTCGTGACTGAAAAGTATTCCATTGTATACGTATATGTCTACAACATTTAATTTATCTTTTCATTCATTGATGGAAGAAGGTTGTTTGCATCTTCTGACGATGGTAAATAATACTGCTATGCACGCTTGTGTACAAGCATGCATTTGAGCTGCTGCCTTCAGTTCTTCAATGTACCTAAAAGGGAGATGGCTGGATCATGACAATTCTACGTGCAACTTTTGAGGAATCACTGAACTGCTGTCGGGAGACTTTGCCATTTTACATCCTCATCAGGGATGTGTGAGGTTCTAATGTATCCACATCCTTGCTAATACTTGTTCTTAATTTCATCCTATGACTAACGTGAAGTAGTATCTCACTGTGGTCTTGATTTGCATTTCTGTAATTATCAGTGATATTGACTATTTTGTATGTGTTTATTGGCTGCATGTCTTCTTTGGAAGTATTTCTACTCAAGTTCTTTGTTCATTTTTGAATTGTATTTTTTAGTATGCTGAGTTTTTGGAGTCTTTACATATTCTGGATATTAATCTTATATATGATTTGCAAATAATTTCTCCTTTTCTGTGTGTTATCTTTTTACTTCCTTAACAATG